TTGCAGTGAAATAAAAATAAAAAACGACAGGGAAAAATTAAAAATATTTTTTTGTAGATATAAACGGGGTTAAAATTAGATGTTTTTATTTTCTTATTAACTTTTTGATACAATAATGTAACTTGATACACAAACGCCGTCTAGGAGAAAGTAACAATAAATTTCGTTTTAACATGGCTGTGTAACATTGAAATGCTAACCTAGACTGCATTTTCTTAGTATTGGATGTGATTTTGAAGGAATGACATTTTTTCCAGCGAAAATTGACTTGTTTCCACAAAATTTCACGTATTTTGTATAATACCAGCTTAAAGTATGGAAAGACACATTTGCCTTTGTTTGAAAATACAAAAAATTCAAGAGTTTTTAACATAATACATCCGGGCAATATGCCCATGCGTACACAGTACGTATAACCAATAAGCATAATTCATGTAATTATAACACAGTGAAATGGTTAATGTCTGCACTTAATAAAACAAATATCATTTATTACACAGTATTTTGAGCAATAAGAAAACGTTAACTAAGAAATGAATCTTCTACCACTTAGTGACACAAGTATGAACATATCTCGAATTATAGTGATATTACTGGCAAATACATTCTTAGGACAGATACCATCCTATCAATAAGGGGTGTAATAGGTATACTAAGTATGTAACAAGTCACGTTACCTTCTAACATAAATCCGTGGTTAACCATGCGTTACACAAAGGCAGAAAATGACAACAGTACACACACACGTGAAAATCATCGAAAGCCAGAAAAAAAGAAAATCTATTGCGTCATTAACATCTGACCAATCAAAATCGTCGTCACTTACAGACTTAAGCGATTTTTTGTCATCATCGTATATTTCTACAACTTTGACAGTGCTAGAACGTGGACCAATTTTTGTTGAACAAGATTTACATCTAAGAAACAATGAAATTTTGATTAGTAAAACAAGGAATCTTTTAATAGGTGTTTGCTCTGTTGCCCACTCAGACATACGTATCTGCAAAAGGGACAAGGCTACAATTAATGTACTCAAAATACTCATTAAAAGTAGATAAATGGACATAAACGAGACAACATCAGAGTTCTTCGGAAGCTCAGACGCAATTATAGTAAGAAATACAGCCAGCGACAGGAAAACTGTCACAGAGTAACCGGCCTTTTCACCAGACGCTACCGGAAGTAGAAAAGTACAAACGTTTAAAACAGACAACAAAATGACAGGTGCAATGATATTGATGACGTAGAAACTTGATTTCCGTTTAAGTTCTATTTCAAAGATCACGGCAGCTTCATCAGAATCATCGTTGACTTCCTTGTAGCTGGTTTTAGTTAGCTCCCACTGGGCATTAGCCGAATAATCCTCCAGTGTAACACCGTTTGCTCCAGCATTCAAATCGATTTCTAAACGAGAGTAACTCCATGCAGTGAATTTGATTTCACATAACTGTTTGTCGAATGGAAAATATTTGATATCAACAGCACAAGTTGATTTGAGAATCTGCGGGAGGAAATATATTCAATAATTAAAAAAAAAGAAAATAAAAGCAAACGAATGTATAATAAACAATCATAATAATATTTAATAATAACAATAATAATATTTTCAGAATGCTTAATCATTTTCAACAAACGCTTTAAATGTGTTTTTGAATTTGTTTAAAGACCCATTATGCCTCAGATATGTTATCTTTAACAACGTTTTAGTTTTTATTATTATGTTACAGTTTCCAAAACAATACTCATCTGCCATATAGATGAGCTATCTTCTGTTAGCAATTGGTTTAATACTTGTGAATTATTTTTGTATAAAAGTCAAAATAATACTGTGTTTAGATTCTGCTTCCTTTGTGACACATTACTGCATGTTCAGTGTTAATTTCTTTAGTTGTTTAACACCAAACATATACTCAATACACTGAATCATTATTAAATCATGTACATCACATGTTTGACAATTATAAAGAATTTAAAAATATGGATTTCTTGGGCATAATGTGCCTTTAATAAATAACAAAAATAATCTTTTGATCTTTTTTTCTTGGTTTAGTAACTGTTGTATGTCAAAATATATACGTTATATTTGTTACATTACGACAAACTCGACCGATGAAAGAAAATGTTCCGAGTTAACTCCGTGTAAGAAAAGACATTTGGGAAGAACCACCGACCGTTTGTAAAGTAGCTGAACACTTTCCGGCCGATAAAAAGCAACTAAAAAGACTGTGACAAAATTTGTATGCCCTGAAGTACTAAGAGGAGGCTTTAAAGTAATAGATTGTAATTATTTGGTCATAGGGGTATTCGTTTGTAAATTTACTAAGAAAAGGAACACTAGTTAATTACTTGAAACGGCTTCCACGTTACATCGCCGTTATGTTGAACTTTGACGTAGAGATAAGTGGAACCCAAGCCCTTAAAACTGTTGTAAGTGTTTCGCAGAGAGACGTCCGGTTTCCATATATCATCTTGCGGCTGCAAATATTTTAAAATGAATATTAGAATAAAAACTGACTTATCCATTTCGTGCAGTCATATACAGAACAAGACCGTAGGTGAAACATTGGTATTGGCATGTTACTTTGACGTGACAAGTTATTTTGACGTGACAAAATACTTTGGTCTGACAATCTTCTTAAACGTGACAACCATCTACTATGACGCGGCAACCGACTGTAACGTGGCAAGATACTAAACGTGACAAGATTCTATGGCCTGACAATCCACTATGATGTGACACACTACTATGACATGACAAACTACTATGACGTGACAATCTTCAATGACGTGACAAACTACTATGAAGTGACAATCTACTATGGCATGACAAACTACTATGATGTGAAAACCTTCTTTAACGTGACAAACTACTATGAACTAACAAGATACCTGTGACTTGACAATCAAAGACCTTCTATTGATATTGATAATCGTCAACTATATTCTCGATACAAACGTTTGTTGTTTTTTTGTTGTTTTTTTTGTTTGTTTTTTTCACACAATTTTGAAAACGGTTAAATGAAATATCTTTAAATTATTAAAACTTGCCCCCGCATGAAACCTTTTTTACTTGTTTATATTGGACTGTTCCCTTGTATGCACAAAACACGCTTACGAGAAATATTTCCGTTGTTCCGTTAAAATCAGACGGTGTCCATGTAAGATACTCATCCATCCAAGTGAGCGCCAAGTACCCGGATGTTGTTAAAACCTCGGCTTGCTCATCAAAATCAATGACGGCTTAAAAATAGCAATAAAGTTATATATAAGATTATACAGCAACTCAAAATAGTTCACTCAAAATCAAATATATATCATGTCGAAACAAATATATTTACCGGTTAATTATATAATATTATGAAATTTATTGAAAACCGCTAATTTGAATTTGCGGCATTTATTATGCATATATATGAATTTATTCAGACAAAACAAGGGACGTGATGTAACGTAAACAGATGATTATAATTTTTTTCTTTTAAAGGAACTCCACAGCGGTCAAAAAGCCTAAAATGCATGAAATTTGAAATTCATACATTTATTTAGTGATTCCCCTTTAATGGAAAAATATGCAAAGGAAAATAAAAATGTTTACACATAGTTTAATTGAATATCGATTATTCTTTACAGATTCTTAGCATGAATAAGTGTCATTTTCTCAACAAATAAAGACAAGAAAAGCATTGATGCAAAGCATCAAAGGGCGTCCAAACAGCAGGTGCAGATGAACTAGTAGATATATGATGACAAGATATTCTTATAAACTTTTCAATGGTTCATTGGGTTTTACCAGAATTGTATATCACTTTTGAATGAACGGACGAAAGAAGTTGTTCATTATTTATAACTTTGATCGGCATGCTAGAAATTAGAATATTACTTGTTATTTCTTTATGATCGTGGTTATAGACCCTTTCATTTAAGCGAAAACAGTCAGGGAAGAGTTACTTCCCTTACCGGATGTGACGTAAATGGGGGATAAAACTATGCAGGCCGCATAGAATGTTAGCTTATTAAAAAGTTAAATGCGTAAAAACTGATCGTCCAATTTTGACTATACATTGTAAAAAGTTCGCATGCATACATAAATTCAATATCAAGACAATAGAAAAAAAAAAACAAAAACAAAGATTGAGATTAATTCTTGCTACGGAGTGAAACAGCTGCAGTATATTTATTAGATATATATTTTCTTAAATGCCCGTATAAAAAGCTAGTAACTTAATCAAATTTTAATATTTTATAAACACCCATACACACTGAAATTGTCTATTATAAATTTAAATGGCCATTTTCTAGTTTTCTGTATTATTTTCTGTCATTTAGAAAATTCCGGCGTTTTTGTGACAAACATCAAAATAAGATTACCAATGTCTTTTAATGATAGTTTTTCAAGCTTTAATAGAACAATTACAGAATGCATTTTGTCAATACTTACTGATTATTTTCATTATGCCGTATAAAAATATTTCTAAGAACCAGTGAAGGATATAATTCTATAAATATTCCGAAAAGAACGAAAAACATGTGTCATTGACTTTTGTAATTTTAAATTCGCAACAGACGATAATAAGATAATTTTGATATTAAAAATCTATTCTTATGGTTATGAAAATAAAGCCTTTTTCCCTTTTGTAACTTATTTCATAGATAAATAGATGTGTATATATAAGCGCCACTGGGCCGTATCATATTAATTAACAGGGTGCATATGTTGTATATTCAAGCGGCTCACCTGTATATAGGTACCCGGGGCGAGGCCAATCTTAACCCAAGGGCTTTTATTTGAACAAACTTGGTAGACACCCATTTAAAAGATGTTTCATGATAAATTTCTAAGCTCCAGCTCTAAGAAGATTTTTTAAGTTTTTACTAAACACAAATAGGGAAAAACAATGACCACCCTCTAGGTGGGGCCAATTTTGTTCCCAAGGCTTTTATTTGAACAAACTTGGTAGACACTCACTAGAAGATAATTCATATTTAATATCTAAACTCTAGCTCCTTGGGTTTTTTAACAAAGATTTTTTAAGTTTTTACTATATACATATAAGGAAAATCAATGATCCCCGGGGCGGGGCCAATTTTAACCCCAGGGCCTTTTTTTGAACAAAAATGGTAGACACCCATTAGAAGATGTTTCATGCTAAATATCTTAGCTCTAGCTCTTAGACACTCACTAGAAGATATTTTTTTATTTCTCTTTATTGTACAATGCAAACAATAAAATTCAAGAAATAATACAATAATACAATACCATGAACATTGTTCTGAAATAATACACACAAATTCATACATTTGCAAAGCATTATATGTATTTTCTTATTATATTTTTTTAAAGGCAAAGTTGACTCTGCACAAACGTACAATTATTAAAGAGTTAAGTTACATAACAACAATAAGTGTCAAAATTTTCTTACAGCTGATAATGTTAGGCACTTTCGTTTTCATTGATTAATTTTATGTATTCTTTCAATACATCCTGTATTGCTTCAAACCTAAGCATTTTTTTGGCATTGATTATTTCTGTTTTAACCAAAAATACTAATTGATTTTTAAAAGCCTCTAAGCTTGGCAATACGGACTTCATTTTACATTTGTAAATATAATGTTTTAATAATAATAATATATTATTCTCTTGATCTGTGAAACGGGAACAGCCGAAAATGAAAGATTGTTCTGAAAGATGAAAAGATTAATTTGGAATTTTGTTTGTTAACCAGACCTGCATGTCCCTTATAAACATGTTGACTATGTCACATTCCCTAAATAAACGTTTTATGGTTTCTGGATTGACATTACAAAATGTTCAGTTGTCGTTGTCCCTAACATTAATCTTTTTCAGTAATACATTAGTACCTAAAATACGAGGCGTTATTCTATATTGAAGCCATAAAAGTTTTGGATCTTTAGTCACTTTAAAGGGTAGAGAGTAGATACTTTTCCAGTTAAGATAAATATTAGAAAAATCATTTTGCCATTTTATTTCTGATTTTGTCTGACGATTATTGACCATCACGTCGTATATTGCGCGACATCCTTTGCGACTTTTGTTAAGTATTTGGATGGCAATTGGCAATATCGGCTTTTTTACTTTGATATCGTTTTGCTGTACATGAAAATCCGTCAAAGCATTTCTGAAGGAACGCATTATACCTTCATATTCAAGAAAGTTATAGCTAACATCAAATAATATTTGAAATTCTTGAAAATTAAGAAACAACCCATTTTCATTAAATTTTACAAAATCGTTGACAAACGAAACCCCTTTTCTTAAGTAGTGTTTAATTTAATTAAAACGTTTTTCCTCCCAATTCTAAAAATTAGGAAAATTTAAAACCATCCCCGGATTGGACAAAAAAATTTTGAAAAATTTAAACCCTGAAAAAAATTTTAATTTTGAAAAAAAAAATGAATTCAAAACCCCTTTTTTCCAAAAACAATTGTTTACACTATTTTTTAAATTTTGGGTAAAAAATATCACTCCATATTTTGGGTTGGGACGGGTTAAAAGAGCTGGACAAGAAAAGCATATTTAGTGTTTGAAGAGAAAAATCTTCTTATCCAAGTGATTTTCAAAACACTGATGAAATGTATTAAGTCAACCGCTCTAAAAGCCCACAATTACATATAACTTGTGTGAGTTTTTATTCTACTTATCTTATCCGATCCATCAGTCCAAATAAATTTGAAAAATACATTTTGTAAGTCTTTAATTACATCAAGATTTAGGGTTTGGTAAAGTAAAAAAAACAGGTTAGTTAATTTAGACAAAGCAAGCGTCTTAATCACTTTGATTTTTCCTATAGGAGAAAGTAGTGTTCTGGACCATATTTTTAAATGAGTCTTTACTTCATTTATCTTGGAAGGATAATTAAGATCACTGATAGATATAATATTTGTAGATAATGTTACTTCCAATAATTTAAATGGACCTTTGTCCCATTTAACACCGATTTCCGGACATAACTCTAAATCGCTATTTCTCATTGCACCTATCCATAACGCCCTAGTTTTGTCAATATTTATTTTTAAACCAGAGATATCTGCATAAAGATTTTAAACTTTCATAGTATGAACGAGGGATTTTTCAGAACCGTCTAATATCAATGAGGTGTCATCTGCGTATTGTGACATCAAATACTCTATACGTTTAACTTTTATACCTGTGATATTACCATTTTTTATAACTTAAGCAAGAATCTCCGCGCACCGGACAAAAATATACGGTGACAGGGGGTCCCCCTGTCTACAACCTCGAAATAAGAGGAACCAGTCGGAGAGGTGGCCATTAACAACAATAGCTGATTGTATAATTGTATAAAATAGTTTTACCCATGAAACAATAGAGTCGCCAAAGTTGAAAAATTTCAAAATCTCCTAATATATCAATCCAAAAGAATTTAAAAAACGTTAAAGTAAAACCATTTATCCCAGGCGAAGTATCATTTGCCATTCGTTTTAAACTTGCCAAAGCCTCTTCTCGAGAAATGAAACCCTCTAAACTATTTTTGTCGTCTCGGAAAGTTTTGTTACATTTATATCAAGAAACAGGTTATCTAAATTAACTGTGTTAGTAATCTTTGCAGAGTATAAGGACTTATAATGATTCATAGATTCCTTTAAAAATTTTGGGCTTTTTTAAATTAAATTTAAAAATTTCCCACCCGGGCTTTTTAAAAAAGGGGTTAAACATATTTTTTTGAAACGAAATGCCTATTCTTTTAAGTTTAAACAAAATTTATCTTGTGGGTTTTTTCTTTTCCTCCCCAATCCCCATTTTGCTCAAAAACCCTTTTTTTTCCTTATATTTTGGGAGTTTCTTGGTTCCCTTTTTTTAAATTTAAAAAAACAAGGAAATTTTCATTTTCTTTTTTTTTAATTTGCTTTTTTTGTTTGAAAAAAATTTCAAATTTTTAAATTTTAAGCTTTTTTCTCTTGATATTTTTCCCTTTTTGTCGTTTTTTTAAAAGGGGCAAACAATGTCCCCAAAAATTTCTTATCATAAAATTAGATAGCAAAAATATTTAAATTATTTCAGAAGTGTTTTACCAAATTGTTTTTGGGTTATCCGAGGAAAATTGGTTAATAATACGCTGAAAACAAATTTGTTTTTTTGTTTAAACAAAATTTTTTCGACATTTTTTTAAAAGCAAATATTTTAAAAAATTTCGAAATTTAGGATTTTTTTTCCCTTTAAAAAATTAAACCAGTTTTAACTGTAAATGAAAAAAACAATGGAAGGGGTCCGAGCGAAAACCCAAAAAATAAAAAGTGTAAAAGGGGAAAATCTTTTTTTTAAAAAACCCACCCCAAAGACCCAAAACTTGTTTAAAAAAAAACAGGCGCTTTTTTTAAAAGGGATTAACGTTAAACCCTTTTGTATTTTGTTAAAATTTCTAAATTTCTGTTCACGGCCAATCCTTTTAAAAATTTTTTGTTCCAAAAAAAAGTTTTCAGATAGCCTCGTGTTCGTTTGGCAAAATTTGTTATAAAATTCCACGGGGTTTTTCTTTTTAAACGGGAAGTAAAAATTTAAAACCAAAAGTTTTGGTATAATTAAAAGGGGGCAACATTTTCTCGACTGAAAAATAAAAAAATTTTGTAAATTTTAAAGCTTCTTTAACCCCATTAAAACTTTTTAATAATTTTAAAATGGGGTTTGGGTCTTGTAAAGTGGTGGCCCTGCAAAAATTAATTTTAAATTTTTTAAATCAGGGAAATTTTAAGCCAAAATACAATCTTTTTTTTTTGTTTCCCCTGTAAAATTTAAACTTTTTAATTGTTTATAAAAAAAACAATTTGAAAATTCTAAAAGTCAAAATCAGAAAAAACCCTTTTGTATTCCCATAAAATAATCGCCATTGGTTTAAAAAGAAGAAAATTTAACCAAAAATAATAAAAAAAATCCAAAACTTTAAATCAAATAAAATTAAAAAAATTTTTTGAAGAAAAACCAAAAATTTTAAACCCAAAAAAAATTTGAATGATTAAACTAAATACTTTAAACAATGAATAACCTGTTAAGTGGAGTTTTTATAATGATGCTTAACTTAGCATTATATATATACAAAAAGAATCAGAGGTAGCAAAAAGTACCGCTGATTAAAATCCTACACTAAGGTTTAATTTTGCTTAACATCTAACTTAGCACAGCAGTTTGTATGTAAATATGTATACAGTACTTTATCGTGTTGTTTTTAGTATATAAGACATTACAAATATGTCTTAATGTATGAACAATATTATTGTAATTTGAATTTCAAAAAGCTCATGTTTTTATTTGTTAATTGCGTATGTTAAACTAAATAACCTTACTTTTGTAAGTAAAACATATATTACATTTAGATATGCACACAAATTCTCAAGTATAATTTCAGTGTTCCATGTATAATTAACATTAAACTAATATTTAGAAAAATATGTTAATGGTTGCTTTATTTGTACCCTACGAAAAAAAAAACAATCATCAACAAGTATATGTAGTTTTTGAGTACAGTATACCTAGGTGTAAAATAAACCAAATATAATAATACATTAAACAGAGTGTGGCCTTTGTGCTTTTATTCTGAGATTCCGCCCCAGTTTATAAAGACCCCTCATCATATGTAGTTTGTGTGTGCAGTATCACAAAATAAATGTACTAAAATGTACTATATCAAAATAAAAATAATACCTTAAACAAAGTGTGGCTTTTGTACATATGTGTAGATGTACACGAGTTTCGACATCATTAAGTATACCGCTTTCAACGGGAAAAAATTGGAACATATACATCCAATATCTAAGTATAAATTTAATTGTATATGTGTCAAATGACCGGACTCAAACTTCTGTTAAATTGAATATGAAAAACTGCGATTGTAAAAGGTATAAATCGCACATATGTACTTATAAGAATTTTCAATAAAATATATAGATATATGTGTAGAATTTCTGTAAGTGTATAAATCCCACACTTTCAGTCAGGCTTAGTTAAATTTATATTGATAACTTCATGCTGTAACAATATCAAGGATTTGTCACTCACTAGTTCTCTTTATGTTCAATCGAATATGAAATACAAAGAGTGAGAATAGTATAAATGAATCATAATTATGTACTTATATAAGTTTTCAATAAAAACTATAGATATATGTATAGAATTTCTGCAAGCGTATAAATGATTAAATGTCAGTCAAGCCAAATGAATTTTATATTTAGTACAGTATCAAGTTTTTATCACTTAGTAGTTCTTTTTAAGCGAGAGGTCTCGACAAATCCGTTTGAATGTCCAACTTTATCTTATAACCATTTGACAATATGGCAAATATTTTCCCCTCATCAGACCACACAGATTTAACATCCTCGCGGTTCAATAATGTTTGTACAAGTTTAGCGGGTTTTTTTTATGTCAAATCCTCTCTGATCACTATTCGCGAACCTTTTAAGTTTCTTCGATTACGTATAACACTCTTCTTCGTAGAACGACGCACGAACTTACATATCACGACCCAGTTTCCGTCCGTTCGAAACTGTCCCAGCCTATGCGCAATGCATATGTCCTCCATTTTAATACTCAGGTTAAGTTTCTCTCACTAGAAGATAATTCATGCTTAATATCTGAACTCTAGCTCTTTGGGTTTTTTAACAGAAGATTTTTTAAGTTTTCACTATATAAATAAAGGGAAAAACAATGACCCCCTGAGGCGGAGCCAACTTTGACCCAAAGGCTTTTATTTGAACAAAGCTCTATTTATTTGTTGTTTTTTTTTTTAAAGAAGATTTTTTAAGTTCTTACTATATACAAATAAGGAAAAACGATAACACCCGGACGGGCCATTTTTGACCCCAGGGCAATTATTTGATTAAATTTGGTAGACACTTTCATGCCAAATATTTAAGCTTTAGCTCTTTCGGTTTTCTAAAAGAAGATATTTTAAGTTTTTTTCTTTCGGTTGCCATGGCAACCAAAGTTCTGCTTGGAATTTAATTATTTGAACACTTTTAAAGCTGACTACCAAAGGACCATTCCTGTGAAGTTTGGATGAAATTTGCTTAGCGATTTATGAGGAGATGTCAATTAAAGTAAAAGTTTACAGACGGAAGGACGACGGACGGACGCCGGACGAAAAGTGATCACAAAAGCTCACCATGTCTCTTTGTGACAGGTGAGCTAAATACTAGATGATAGAATGATCTGAAAACTTGTACAGAAGTTATTGGTCCAGACATAAAACAAATGGTTTACAAGTATCAGAAAAAATATTTCCAGTCCCATCATGTCAAAAACCTCAGCGGAGTCCCTTTAAAGATGCAAACTACTTTTTTTTTCATTTAGACATACACGCGGAAAGCTGTTTACATAATCGATTGAAACATCTTAGCGAAAAAGAAATAAAGGGCTGATCTGATTTTGAGTTATCTACTCTTTAGCTTGATTAGTTTTTGCAATTATTTTAAAGAAATATGATTCTTAATTAATTTATGTAATCAAGGTACCGTAAAGTTTCATGTAGCAAACTTTCTTTCAGGTGATTGTTCGAACGTTCTTGGACTGAAGTTGCATTTTTTCTACCTATGACAATGCTTTAAAAGTTAAAAGTTTAGCCTTTTTATTTAAACTGAAAAAAAAAAACTCACAAATGTTTTTAGAATTACATAAAATGTGTTTTCAAAATAAATAAGAACTTCAAACATAATCCAAAAAGTAATAATTAGATTTCAAACTTATTTATTAGTTTTTTATCGTTGAGCAAGACATGGAATCAATTAGAATTAACAAATAAATTTATAATAGATTCAAGGGCACATAATTCACGAATGAGATAGGCAGCGCCTATTAATTCTTTTATCATGTTCTTACATCTTGCAAAGTTCAAATAATTTCTATGAAACAGGTTTTATAAATTATGAGTATATATAGGTAAACAACTGTAGCAAATGTCCTTAAGCTAAGTGTAATAAAAATGTATTTAAACTCAAAACTATGATACTAGTTATTCAATATTCTTAGACCTGGAAGATAAACTGCGCTACACAATTTTGTATCTATTGTCTTGAATATTTTATTCTAAGACGATTTTATAAATAGCCACGTGACCGGCTTGAATAAAAAAGTGTAAAGCCTATGCCATCAGTATATAAAACAAAGGCAGTCTTCAAAAGATTTGCTTTCAGACCAGTGTTTTTGGGGTTTTTTTACATTTGATTTCGATATTTCATAAATTTCAAATTGACTGTCCCAAAATTTAAATTAAAGAAAAAAATAGGGAAATATATCACAAAGAAAACAGCAACAAAAAAACAATAAACAAACAAAAAACGTAACAAAAAAAAAGAACAAAAGAACAAAAAAACACAAAAGAACAAAAAGACCACAACAAGAAACAAACACAAAACCTAAAAAAATTTATTATTAGAAAAAGAACAAAACACCCAAACAAAACACAAAAAAACACAAAAAAACACAAACAAACAAATCAAAACAAGAAAATAACAACAAAAGAACAAAAAAGGAACAAAACACACAAACAAACCCTAAAATAACACCAAAAAAGCGCACACACAAAAAAAAATAACAGCAAAAAAAAGAAAGATGAAAAAAGAACAAAAAACCCAAACAAACCACCAAACAAACAAAACAACAAAAAGCTACAACAACCTCCACCACAGGTTTATACTGAGAATTGATATTTTAATAGTCTTACAATTCAAATAAAATTCCACGTTAATGATGAGCGTAACACTCTGGCTCTGCAGTGGCCGGACCTTATTGCTGTATCCGTCTGTAGTAAACAACTTGGTGATGACGTCCTTTACATTCGACCCCGAAAAACCTACAACTCCAGGAAAAATTGTGCACAGAAAAAGTATCCATACTATCCGAGCCATTACCCGAAATCCGTATCAGTTACATGTACAGCGTAACAGAGATTTTATTCGTATTTGTGATTTAAATGTGTTAATAACTAGTTTAACGACGTTGTACTATTTAGCTAAAGTAATTGATTTGTCATTGTACAGTACGAAAATATTTTTATATGACTGTGTACATAACCGTACTTTAAATGCATTATTTTCTATTATTTAATTCCGTTCAAAAGGGTATTTCATTTGTTTGTGCGTTATTAATCCAGAATCAATTAATAGTACAGGTACAAATTTAAACAAAATCTGCTTAAAACAAATTAATGGGCATTTAATATTTACTTTGGCGCTACGCCTTTGTTCCGCCCGAACGCTACTTTTAAATTAAAAATAAATACTACTTGTATAATTAATTGATTGCCAAAAGCGTTCAAATATTGCGATATGAGTGTCTGTTTTGTTAATTAGTAAAACGGACGTAATTGTAATTAATTGTATGGACATAAACAGTATCATTTACCGGATATTATTGATTTCTGTGACCTGTTTGAAAGGACTTTGAATATCATCAAGTGATTTTTAAATATTTCACATAAGATGATTTTTTTATAAAGTACATTTTAAGTTTATCAAACTGAATGATAATTTTTATCATTACATTTCTGTCATAAAGTACATGCATGTCTGATAAGTTTAGGTTCATCAGTCACCCGCAGTGTTGTCATACACCTCATTAATACATATTAAAATAAAATGAAGAGAATGGAATTTTTTACCTCTGACTATTTTGAACATATTTTGTATCTAATAGATGTTTAAAATCTTAAAGTCCCTCTTACATTCGACTAAAACCAGTCGGGAGTATTTCTTATTGATATGTCCATGGCATAATACTGCGCGCAGCATTAGCTCGATAGGTTCTTGACTGGTTTTTGTACCATTTGAAATTTAAAATTGAAAATTTATAAATAGAATACCAAACAAATGTCTGATAAAGAATTATAAAATTTATCAGGCTTTGCACATACCTCGCCTTTCTTCTTTTCTAAGCGTGCCTTTACGAGTTTCTGTTTTTTTCTAAAATCCAAATACATTTAATGCCCGTTTTATTAATTCTTAGTATTTTCAAGTACACAAAAGCAGTTGACTGGGAGCATTGCCCTACCATTGACATTTTGTTGTTTGTTGTTGTTGTTTGTTTTTTTTTTCGGTATAAAGAAATGACCAGGAGAATGGTATTCACGCCAATCTTGTATCAACTTGTCTTGCTGCCAATCAGTTTTGTTTATAGATCAATTGTGTAGCAAGCTATAAACCTTTAGACACACTATCAGGTTCGTTCCTGGAACCAACTAGTATTGAGCAATGGGTGTAAAGATTCTTGCTAGAAGAGAACCGGCTTGCCAATGACGGGAATTGAACACAAGCGGCCATAGATCCCTAGACTACTAGTACGACGCGTTAACTTCCGGCCATTCAATCAGTTTTACATTTCACTTGATTCTTTTAATCCTATTTTGACAAGGAAAAGAAAAAGGTCCACTCAGACAATTCTACTTTTAGAGCATCTATTTGCTTTATCTTAGCGTTCAACATTTTCATTCGCTTAAAACGAGATTTCAGTCAAGAACACTTTCGTTTAAACTACAGAAAAAAAGAACATTGTTATAAAGAATATTGAAAAATTTCCGGCTTGATCTTGACTTCCAGATTGAAGTTAAAGGGACGCCGCAAGATCTTATGGCATGACGGAACTTGAAATATTTTTTTCTAAATTAAATTTTCATTTGATGAAAGTCTACTGTTGTCTAATAACTTGTATCCAACATTTCAGATCATTTATCCACTCCGTTCTTCTATCTAGAATGATTATTCTAATTTTGAAAAATGACCGGATATTGGAAAACGTTGCAACGCTTTGCTAAGAAAAACACAACAATACGATTTTCAATTTATTTCCGAGTATTCTTTTATACTATCTTGAACATATCTTTCTATTTTATGTGTCTAAGCTGATCTATGTAAGAAATTCATATTTTACATTTTTAGGCTTTTGGACCTCAGTGGAGTTCTTTTAAGATTTTATAACTGTGACAGATAACATAGATAACAAGACGTATAACGTCCTTTTTAATGTCAACAAAGAGTGCTAAATAGCAACCACTTGAGAGATAAACATTGATATTCTTGTCACTCTAACAGAATTGCCAAGCATTATCACATGTCTTATCGTTCCTTAGACATCAATGTGTTTATTTTCTCCTCATTTGTTGACACCAGCGTCTTAAAGCTAGAGGTTATCTTGCCATGAGTGAAGAGGTCACTCAAATTCTTAACATCTTTTTTCGTTGATATTAGTAATGTGTTATCAAGTTTGTTTCAGAATATTTTCCTAAGTTTACCATTTGGCATCGGGCATTTAATATCAACAGATGTGTCACAGTTTGCAATGTTATGCCATATGCGTTCGCTCGACATTTTATACCTGTAAATTACTTCCTAAAAGAAAGGACCAAATATGTTTCACTTTAAGAATGAAAGCTGCGACAAGATGTTGTTCTATGGACTTACTTCTACACAAGAATACGACATTATTTGGAACGTAATAGATGCCGTTATGTTCTTACCGACTGTGTTTGGAAATACTTTGATTCTTCTGAGCATTGTCCGCTTCCGGCGTTTACGCACCAAAATACACATTTTGATTGGTCACCTTGCTGTTAATGACCTACTGGTTGGAGCAACACTACTTCCGTTAGAAACAGTTGGTGACTCTTTTCACGTCGACCAGGAAAAATATTACTGCTTGATAAAACTATCAGTTTTTACTTTGACGTTAGGCGGATCCTGCATGGGACTGTTTATCATTTCCGTTGAACGATTCTCAGCTGTAGCATTTCCGCTGAAGCATGCGCACTTCACAAAACAAAAACTTGGCATTGTCGTCTGCATTGGGTGGATTTATGTTCTGTTTTGGACTCTTTCGCCCATCTTCGGTTGCAATACGTTTGATTCACGGTACGTGTCTAATTTACAGTGTAACGCAAGCATCATCTGGGGAGGATGGTGCAAATTCGGGATGAATGTGAATTTTGTTTTGGGACTTTCTCTGAACGTTGGTTTCTACATTTGTGTGGTTGTTATTGCAATAAAGAAAGTGAAAGAGCATGGACGTCAAACAGGAACCAGCACAAATCTCTTCAGATCTCGCGAGATGTCAAAGACGGTGACAATGGCGGCTGTCCTTGGACTTTTTGCACTATTTTGGTCTCCATATGCGGCAATGACTCTAATTATCACCATACAGAGGAACTGTACTGCAGAACTGTATTATATAAGACGCTGGTTTCTCCTACTAGGACTGTTTAATTGTTCACTTAACTGGATAATTTATGGTCTTAAAAATAAAGATTTTAAGGAGGCATTCAAAACAATAATTTGTAGCAATAGATGTGTTCTTCGAAAGCGTACTCGACGGATCGAGTGCGCAACAATACAAGCGGGAACACGTGAAACTTATTGTTGACGTCATACGCTAGGTTGTGTGGGTGTTTAATCTTTTATTTTATATTTATTTTTCAATTTGTTGATTTTATTAAGTTCATTTTTAATTTTATTTATTTATTTTCAATTTTCGCTGTTGATATTTAAACTGCATTGAATTGACTATGAATTTGATCAGCAATTAAATTCATCCGAACAATCAGATGTAGTTTGTTTATTTCAAATGAAAAATACACTACAGAAAACATCTTCCCTTTTTAGGGTTTTCGTGTTGGAGACACCGAAAAAAAAACGGAGGAGTTTAAAATTCTGGAAAATGTCAAACATGTTCGTAATTGATCAAAACTGTTTTGTCAATAAATATCAGAAAGCTATTTTTTTACATTAGCATCCATTTAAATTATTGGAGCGTTCTAATTATTAAACGTTCCCACCGCAAAATAAATTGTTA